TACTAGTTAAAATTTTTTTTATTAAAATAAAGTCAGATTAATTTAAACATATTTAATTTAATTTAGTTAAATCAAAGTAGTTATAGTTAAACATGCTTTAAAAAATATTTAAAATGTACCAAATTGGTTTCAAATTGTTTTTGCATTGAATTCAAATCAGATTCAGATTCAGATTTAGATCAGATCAAATCGAATCAAATTTGAATCAGATCAGATTAAACTACTATAGTTTCAATCAGATCAGATTAGTTTAAAACAAATTAAATCCATATCTGATTTGTATTTATAAAAACTGGATTAGATCAAATCTAGTTAAAATCTAATTTGATTCGATCTGTTGTAATTACTACCTTCAATAGAAAATATGGATATCCACCTCTTCTTGAAAAACATCCTCATGGGAGATTTGGGAGACTTTGGTCATTTGTACTAGTTGAAAATGTAATAGGCAATAACAAACTTGAATTAATGGAAAATTCTATGGATCATAAAACCAACGGTTGTCAGAAAAGACAACTTGTAGCAAGGCTAGTGATTAGCATTAGTGTCACAATGAAAACTGTAATGGATAGAGTTTGGAAGAGACCTAAAGTCTCGTTCTATCAAGAAAACAACATCTCCTATAGGTAAAAATGGGTCCCTAAAGGGGGAGACAAGAACAAAAATCAAATGTTCCTCATTAGAAAACAGTAAAAATTTTAAATTAATAACTATAAAAAACTACTCATAATTATTCTTCATTATTCAAATTATTGATTTATAGTATTTCTTGATTTTTGTTTCTATTAAAATGCAGAGCTATGAATTTTGTCCCTCAAAAAAGGACATAAGTAATCTATAAAATTTTATATGTTAAATATTTTCGGGACTCATTATTGCCTGTAAGGTATTTCTGAAGAGTAGTTAAAACCGGTCGTAATGAAAGATTATATGTTGCTCACGTAGCACATTATTGAACTGCTTGGATATTAACATATGATTGCTATGCATGGAATAGTCAAGCTTAATATCAACTCTCAGAGAACTATACATGATAAGGATTATTCATGGTACTCATTATTATCAAGTGACAATAAGACTATACTAAGGAACAAATATAACAAGCTCCTTGAAGATTAAATAAGAAGTCCATAGTGGATCCTTGGAACACTATAGGCCTAAGCAGAGCAGGGCAACTGACAAAAATGTTGTTATTATGTGGTAAAATTGATGGGCTTGATTAGGATAGGTAGTTTAAAAGGTTATACAAATCACTCATATAATCTGAAAATATACTACTGATTCTTTAATAAAGATTCATCCTGTTAGTTGAACTAGTTTAAAAAAAAATAAATTAATAATTTAAAATTGATATAATTTTTAGTTAATAAATATTTTTTATTTTGATTAAAAAATAAATTATAGGATATTACAATATTATCAATAGAAAATAACTTGTGAATTGTCTTAAAACTTAATTAAAAAAACAGTACCAATTATAAAAAAATAAAAAAAAAAATAAAGAAGAAAAATATTATATGAATTATCGATATAATTAGTTATTGATAAATTAATATGCTTTGCAATTGTTTAAAAAATTGATAATAAAAAATATAGAAAAAAATAATATAAAAAATAATCAAGTTATATTAGAAGATGCTAGTTATAGTAAGGAGTATATTATATAAAAGCAAATGAATAATCCTAAATATAATAATTATATTAATTTAAATTTAATAAAAACAATTTTTTAAATATAAAACTTTAGAAAATTTAAATATATACATGAATTTAAAGCCAAAAAATCAAGCCGAGTTAATTTAAACAAATTTAATTTAACTAAATTAAATTAAATCAAATTTGAATCTAATTGAATATAGATCAAATTGAATCAAATCAAATTGGATTCTGATCAAATTGAATTGAATTCAATTCAAATTCAGATCAAATTAAATCGAATTTGAAGTCAGTTTGTATTTATAAAAATCAGATCGAATCAAATATAGTTAAATCCAATCCAATTCGATCCATTGCGATCACTACACATTCAGTTTCTGGAAGAAATTTTTTTTTGCTGATGCAATTAAAAAATTATGAGCTAATGCATTATTACGGACTTGTCATTAATCTTGTACAAAAAATTATGAAATTATGTTACATAAAAAAATTTAAATGCATTTATAAAAAGCAGTCTATTTTTTTGCTGACATTTTATTTTTTTTATCAGGAGTGTTATCTGGTATTGTTATCCAATCGGATACACAACTTTGACTATTTTCCATCCTAGCATCTTCTTCACACATTTTTGCTTTTATAGATTGACGTTCTGTAAGTAGTGTCTCCAGATAAATTCCAAGATTTGCAATTTTTTTAAGTAACCACCGCTCTGTGTATGTTGTTGGAATCTTGCATTTAAAAACTTCGTATATTCTATAAGTTTTGGCCCTAACAAGATCCGTAAGATAGATTGATATAAAATATTCTAAAATATAGAAAACGGATGAGTCTATTAAAGCAAACCATTCTTGAAAAACATAATGTAAACACCTACTATATCCGTGAATACTGATAGATTTAAAATTTTTTGCTGTCGTTATTGAAGAATTACTATACTGAATAAAATGGAAGTTTAGGTCGTCCACGCTATTCCTTGCCAATTTAGCTATATCTTCCAAATAGTGTGTCTCATCGAATTCTGTTGGACCGAAAGATTGTTCATAAATGATTGTGGCATTTTGATCCTGATATATAACCGCATCATTTTTATCTCCTCTATTGGAACTTGTTGGCCGTTGATCTATATTTATATTATAAATTCGATCCTTGTGTGCTTCATTGGCGATTTCACCGCTAAAAATAATAATAACATTAATTTATATTAGAAGTACGGGGGAAAATTACAAAACTTACTAGGAAATTTCTGATATTAATTCTCCAAAGAACATTGAAAACAAGTCAAGAATTCGATAAATGGTTTGGCTGGACCAAGTCTTTTCATCACCCTTTCTTTGTAAACCTCCGTAATAGTAATAAAATATAAAATGCCGACATATTTCACTAGTCCATAAAAGTAGAGGTTTCGCATCCTTGCTGGGTGGATTTCTTACTTTTCGAAACACACTTTCGATATTCCCGTTGAGTAAATCTTGCAAATATTTTTCGATAAAATCTGGAAGGTCAATTTTAACAACAGTGTTTTGAGCTATTCTTTCAAATAGCTCCTCCGCATCTGCTTGAGATAACGACTTGAATGGTTGAACCAATATATATATGCCACGCTTTCTCATTTCGCCAAAAAGTTGAACAATTCTTTTCTGCTTTATTTTTGTTTCAACCGCAACCTGTACAACAAATGTTCATTTGCCGTAAATAAAACTGAAGAAAATATTATCTAAACAACATTCCACATACCCCAGTTTCTGTTTCTGATTCTAATTACTCTTGTTCGGTGATCACTTTGTTCTAAAGATATTCACGAAGCATATTAGTGTAACTAAGGTAACATTGAAAATCATTCATGGTCTCACCTTCATCGTCTTCGTCTTCTTCATCGGAGAAGTTGTAGTTTCCTTGATATTCATCTCATCCCGGCGTTTTCTCAATGAAGGTTCTTCCTAGAGAAACAACATATTCGTGATTAATAAAAAGTTTTCGTAGCTTATAATTGATCGTGATTAACTACCTCATCTATTTGATTTAATAATGGACTCAGGTTTTCATTATCATTTTCTTGTCGATACTTTAAATTGCCCTGCTTTATGAACTCGAGCTGTTTCGTGTTTGTCGTCCTCTTCAGGCTTTTAATTGACAATAAGAGTGCCGAGCCTAGATGTGGTTTTATATACAATGTGAATGTGGTCGAGTACTATTGCAAAGAAGGCCAACGTACCATTTCTGATTTCTCTTTTTCTTTCATCCTTCGTCGCCTTCTAAACATTGATTAGATCCTTATTTATCACCACATGGTTTTTTAATGCCGTAAATCGGTAACACAAGTCCGATATTTTTGCATCTTGACGTTACACCGTGTATATTTATATAAACAACACCACTACCAGATTGACAGAAAACATAAACACCATCCCGAATATTCATCTCTGCGGTCTAACTGTAGAGTACGTTTATGGCTGGAGTTCCCCGAAACGGAAGCCGGGTTTAAAAGGACCCTAATACGTATCTGTCTGGTGCGTTCTACGCTTATGGCTGGAGTTCGTTGAAACGGAAGCCGGGTTTAAAAGGACCCTAATGCGTGCACGACAGTTGTATATTCTGGGCGTAGGTGTCTATATCTACTTTCTTGCGTGTTTACCACTGAAAGGTTTGTAGTAAATTAGTGTCTCAAAGCTGTGATGTCAAAATTTCCGTTTTTATTAATGAAGTTTTAATTTACAAAATGTTCGCGGAGCAAATACGTGTACAGATTGACCTCGGTGGAAAAAATTGCACCTCCAACTTTTTTGTCTTTCCGCAATTGCCACGCAATATGGTATTATAAGGTTTCGGAGTGACTAATTTGCGGTGAATTACACGAGAGTATTTCAAGCAATCTAGAAGAAAAGTGTATTTTTTTTTTTGTCTATAAGAAACGGGTTCCGTATTTCTTTCTAATTTTATTATTATTTTTTTTTTTTTTACAGAATAACGGAGTAGATTATATCATAATAAAATAAATGAAATATATGATATGCTTTCAAGGGATGGATTACGCGGATCTTAGGCGAGTCCTTGCGTCATATTATTTCTCTAATATTAATGCTTTGCTATCAGATTCCGAAATTAAAAACCAATTTCCACCCACATATTCTTCCTTATAGATAATATATTTTCGCAACTATATATACACTTCATTTCTATAACATTCCCTCTCACATGGCATATAGAAAAATTTCGGCTAAGTTCCACAAGAGAGCTTTTCCGGATTTTGGATCTGTAGGATATTTCGAAGCAAATTAGTGAGGTAATAGAAAGTAATAAAGAGACACACTTGCCATTATATTTCTGCAAACTCTATCTTATTGCGATTCTTTCTTAAATCTGTTTCAAAGCGCCTATTTTCTTTATATATGACGAAAGTCAGATGATGGAAAAGCCCAGCAATTTTCGGACGTGTTGAAGATCACGATTTTATCAGCGATCAAAAATCAAGAACGGTAATATATCCACTTTGACTTTGTATCTATAAGCCAGAAAAAATGATTAACATCGTGATGATGTTCTTCTAGGATCAAGCCGAGAAACCATCATACCTTGTCAACACTTTTCGAATATATTCGTTCGGTTGAATATTTATGATGAGAATAAAGGTAAGTTTGAATATTTTGTTTTGATTATTTGCTTATAATTTGCGCAAGACAGGTAAAGGGATTTGTTAATCGTCTCACCTTCTTTCTATATGATTTCCAGCGTTCCAAGAATCGAATTTGAAATAAATCTTTGGGGAATCACGATTGCATCATGGAAAACCAGATTAACGGATTCGCTCAAAGACAAAATAAAAAACTTGATCGCTAATCATATGGATCGTGCCCCTTGGATAAAAAAGGGATCTTCTTTTTTATTATTGTTACATGATGCTACGTTAATTTTTTCTTACGTCGCACAGCAATCATCTCAGCAATAATTTTCACAAATAACAATTCCTCAATCCCCTTATCATTAAATATATTGTGCTTAATGCATCTTTGCTTTATTGTTGTAAATAAAAAATACAAAAGTTTTGACCATAGCCCATGATACATACTCGTTGCGCATTGGCTCTAAGCAGTCTACAAGTAAAGGCCCGTAATTTTTTAACCTGACCAAAATTTTGGCCATGCAATGTTTGAAATGTGGATCGTCGTCTTGAATTTTATAGGTAGGAAGGGTGAATAATAGAGTTGCGTCTATGCATTCGGATTCTATATCAGCACTTCTTTCAAACTGCGGTAGGAGAACGAATGCTTCGGCATGGTCTTAAGGGCTTTGGCTTCTTTGGCGAGTTTCCATTTCCAATCCCCACCATGAACTTTTCTTCGGTTATGAAGTCTATGCATAATCGTTGTAAACTTATTGATGGAAAATTTTTTTACTAAATTTGTGACCTTTTGGTTTTCTATTGCAAAGTTGTCCAAAGACTTTTTAGACGATCTGTAAATACAGTATAAAATTTGATATACTGCGGGGGGTTTAATGAATAATTATGTTTCCCGGATTTCGAATTCTGCAGGAATTTCGGCAATTATCCCATCACGAAAACAAAGTATCAGCGAAACCAAAAAAAATCTATTCAGCACGCATACAATAATTAAAAAGGTCAAATCATCTTATTATTTTTGTAAAATGAATATTGAGAAGGTAAGAGGCTGGCTAATTAAACGATTGAATAACAGGATGGTTCAAGGGAAGAAAGGCATAAAAGAACATGCCTGCTTGTTTAAGCTTGCCGAGCCCTAACCCATATAATGGAAGTTCCTTCCCTGCTACTCAAAGGTGTAAATGAATGTTATCCATTCAAGCACCTATCTTTTCTAAGTTTTCTTGATTGTGTCTTTTCCAATTGATCCCATCCCAAGTTTAAGAATATAAACCGATACAATAGCACACATCTGATCTAAAGAATAATCCCTTGCACCCTTAACCCTATCAAAGATGATCGAAAATTGTTACCGAATTACAGAAATGATATTCGCAAATCTTAGACTTGAATCCGAGAAATTTGATGAAGTCTCGCTTTGCTGGTCAGATCCTCTCCTATTAACAATCTGGACAAGGGAGTGTCGTTGATTGATTTCGCTCTAGAGCGTTGCCGATCGATTCGAAATTAGTTAAAATTATTATGATAGGTTTCTAGAACGCGTTTAATTTTGTTATATTTCCCATTTAATTCATGAGCAAGTGTATTAATTAAGGTTAAATCACACGCTTAAATTAATATATATTTCTCTCGAAATAACATCGCTTCTATTTGAACACCTTAGCAGTATAAAGTATGTTATTATATATATATATATTTTTTTTTGAGTACCCGTAGCCAGGCTAGATTGTCAATTTATTAATCAATTGAAAACACAAGTACATTTTCATTCGAGCAGCATGATACATACTACAACTAAACTATTATTCTAATCTAACTAACTCATCTTAAGCATAAAAGTCTCTAAGTTTAACCTTGGGGACAATATTTTGCTCCACAGTGTCTTTGGGTGAAAACCCTTCTAGTTCACTGCATCATTATTAGCAGGTTGTCACTGCCATATGTCAATCCAAGCCACTGGTATCTAAAAATGTCTAAGTAGACAAAAAAAAAATGAAAGAGTAAAAATATGAAAAAATATTTCCAGCTTCCTCCAAAGACTGCTTCTTAAGACTTCTTCTTAATAAGAAATGTCCAATTGGAATATTCTTTCTTTTCCTGACCGTTTGTAGAACTTATCCATTCTAGATCTTGATTTCCTTCTTGTGTACTGTTTAAGAAGACTTATCATCTAATGGGAGCCTTTACTTTCAGGACATACTTGGTTCTAACTTCTTTGGGCAATGATTTTTTATCCACCTGTGATAAAGAGATGACTTATGATAGACCCAGGTTCTTATGTGATCTAGTAAGGACTAGGTTATATTGTTTCAGTATGATACTGTGATAAAAATAGTGTTTATTACCATTAGATAGTTATTTTTAGTCATGATCTTCATTCTATTTCTATTTTTATCTATTTATTTATAATTATTTCTTTGATAT